CGGCCGATGAAGTTCCCAGCCAGCGTCTTGTGATGTTTTGTGGCCCTCTGACTCTCAGAGTACATTGCAGAAATTTAATGAGAGAGACGATTATGATGCATTATGGGAGTATGATGTCTATAAATTAAAATGTCCACAAGGCACACAGTAACTCTTGTGGACATAAATTAAAGCTGAACTACCCCTTCATGAAATGTTTTAATTCAGTTTGACAAACCAAAGTATTTCAATTTAGGTTGAGCTAATTCAAAACAAAGCATTTTATTTTTCCCAATGGGGAGTAAAAATCTCCAGCAGAGGTGCCACAGGGAAATTCAAAGCTCTTAAAGACTAAATTTCCATTCAGAAAAAGATATTCATGGGAAATATCTGACCCCCAATAATACATACTCCATATCCACATATTTATATAAATATATAGACAAATATATTATCACAAACAAAGAAATATAAGCCTGGACTGTTAAATATAGCTTAATGGGCTTAATATGCTGTTGGTGATATTTAAATTACAGTTTGTTGTATAATATCTAAGTAGGAAAAGGAACTCATAGAGCATTTATTTCTAACATTTATTTCTAATGCCTACATGGATGACTCTATATGTTGCAAGCTCATCTCAGTAGAAGCTTTTTTTTCCCCCTAAGTTTCACTGGAGAGGGAGCTGGGAGGAAAAAGTGATGTGTTTCGTCTCAGCCTTGATGTGTTCACAGCACTGACAGGCCTTCTATTGCTTCATTACAATCCTGTAACACTCTAGCAATTTGGAGACATCTCATTACTTCTGCACAATTTTCTGGCTTCCCATTTTAAAAGAGGAAATCTGTTTCCCTGAGGCAGAGCTCTGCTATTGCATTGTGACAGAAATCTGTGTCTTTATGTATTGCTGGGAAAGGCCTATGTACACCTTTTGTATTACCACTGTTTATTGGGAAAGATTTCACTTATTTTGGACTTCCAGAAAACTTATTTCACAGCTTTTTTCAAGAGGATTTCTGTTTCCTGGAGACCAAAATTCTGTTTAGTCCCCAAAGCAGAGTCCTATCCCCAGGAATCTGTGCCATCAGAGGTGGAAAGGTGCGAACAACATCAAATCCAAACACCTCATAGTTTTTAATGAGGTTTCACCATGGCAGAAAGTATGAAATTAGGCTCTTGTTATTCTTATTTCAGAAACCATGAGTCATTGTAGACTGTTTCAGACACAGAATAATGGCAAAGCAACTTTGGAAATTGACAGTAACTGTTCTTATAGCAACACGGTTTGCCACTCACAGCTGCAACGCCGTTTCAGAAGCACAGTGTTAACCTGGCCCGTGACGCTGGAGATTCCACAGCCACGTCAGCTCTGCCAGCTGCGTCCTGCTTCCAGCAACAGTGAGGAGTCCTGTCGGAGGGGATATTTCTGGGATGCAGCTGAGTCACAGGGATTGCAAGCACCAAGGGTGCTACGAAACTGTGTAGACACACACAGGTAGAGCCATGTCCATCATTCCCCTCTGCTCTCTGACCCCACCTGACTGCGATGGCACATGGCTATGTCGTAACAGCTTGTGACCGTGAGCTGCTTCTTGATAAGAAAACTAGACCACTCATTTTCCATTCCTCATTTTCCTCACTGAGCTATAGGGTCTGTCTTGCTTCTCTGCCTCAGCCATCTGGCTGGAGTTATCCTCATGACCTTTCCAGAGTCTCTGCTTTCCAGGATGTGTGCCTGCCTCCCCACACTGGAGAGAGTTTTCCATTCTGTCCCGCTAGATATACGCCCTGGCATTTGCACTTATTCAAACCTAGTTTTGCTCAAAGGGTTCTGTTCTATCAGGTGATCAAGATTGAATCAATAGTCTGAAAAATTGCCCTCTCCTCCCCATCCTTTACCACACCACCAGCTTTGCCTTCTCCACAAACTGCATCAGCTCTAAGTTTGTACTTCTCACAGCCCACTGCAGTGACATGCTTGTCGCTGTTTGCCAACAATGCATGTCTGGTGTTTCCACACAAAAGTGTCACTGCACAATATGAGATGAATATAAACAGATTAACAGCTGACAAAAGAAGCTGGAAAACATTGCTTCTGGTAGAGGAATAGCAAAATACGTTGTATAGTAGAACACTGGGCAGAAACACTCCAGGAGATATGGATATAGCTCCAGGCAAGAGTACTATCAGCTTTTATGTATTGCCCTGCTATTGGGGCAATGAGGCCCTCTGTACCTCCAGAGAGACACCAGCTTTCGGGGAGAGACAAGTCTGTGCAGTGCAGGTTGCCTTTTCTCTGTGTCTGGAGTCCTTCCTACATGACAGCATCACCATCTGTAGCTGCAATTTTGAGCTAGAAATAGCATGAAACATTTTTTCCTCCCTCTGTGCCCACTATGCCATTCACGCCACCAATGTCCTGCTGCAGACCCATCCAGTCCTTATCCCATTTACCCTCCTCCTTCCCTATTTTTATGCCAGACTTATTTTGAGCCTCTTTATGTGAGCCATTAATCATAGCATGGTTAGTCATTTAAAAATAAAAAGAATTACTGGTCTATGGACGTGACAAGTCATTTCCAGCTACTGAACAACTTGGCAAGTGATTTTTTTTTTCTATTTGGTTGAAAATATTCTAGACACACCAGGGAGGTTTTTTTATCTGTGTGTTTGTATAAAGAGAACATGTAAATGTGTCAGAGGGGATGAGATGGGAAACAGCCAACTCCTGAGCAGTTACTAAAAGATGACACTTTGTAAACTATGTTGATAACCCTCTGTGGGAGGAATAGCAAAAACTTAATTACTACTGATATGTATTAGGAGAAGTCTTATTTTTAGAGTTCTGAAAGGAGCCTGCAGGAACTTCTTGTTTTAACCTCTTGTACAGAAGTACAATGCCTTGACTGCACAGGAAGGTGAGAAGCTTCGCAGGGAATAAGGTGACCTAGAGTTTACTGTGACTTAGCTTTGTTCCATCCATACAAAAGGCCCGCTGACTTCTAGGAAGGACAAAAATCAGGCTTATAATTTCTGGGATCTAAACTAAAATGAAGAAATAAATAGTTTTGACATCTGGAAAAGGACCTCAACTATGAGGTGTCCCAGATTAGTTTGCTGCCTACTCCTTGACTAATCTAGGAAAAGTCACTGAATCTTTTTGTACTTCACCTCTGTCCTGGCAAATAGCAATAGCAGGAATGTTTGGGGCACAGATAGCTTTTCCACCTTGTCCATATTTTTTGCTTTTAAGAAATGTTGTGCTTTTTGCACTAAGACATACCTAAAACCTTTTAAAACTTTCTACAGAAGGACAGAGATGGTATATAAAATCCCTGGTAAAAACATGCTAGGATAATTCACTCAGCATGGGAGGGGCTCAAAACTAATTCAAAAGTCTAACTCAGACACATGAGTCTAACTCTTCTCCTATAAACATTAATACCGTAGTTGTCAAGCCCTTCTGGGTCAGGCCAGCCTCATCCTACAGTGGAAAAGACCCTTCTTTCAGATAAAGATTTTTTCATTAAAAGTAGCTCTGGCCCAGCAAAATATTGCATTTTCTTGAGAAGAAGCTCTTCTATTCAAATAGTCTTCCCTATTACAGATAACATTTTGCAGCTTTCACTCTGGATCAGTCTCATCTGGTAGCTGGGCTTTTCCATGACGCTTCAGTTGAACTGAATGGAAAACACACTGTAAATTCTTTGCTGTCAGTGTAATTTAGATACTGCACTTATCTGAGGTGACCTCAATCTTGTGGGAGGTCCCTTGGTTTTACTGCAGAACATAAGATAAAGAATAAATTAGTAATAACAAAACCGAGCAGTGAAAGACACTTGCTGAGAGCCCTATGAGAGCACTGCTGTGGATGCCTCTTCCACTGTGTGAAAAGTCAGAGACAGCATAGCTGAACAGGAAAACACGGTGAGAAAATCTTTGTATAGCATCATAGAAAGAAGTCTAAAAATAGTCCAAATCTTGTTTCTCCACTTATTTAATAAATCATCTTTCTAAGGAGAACTGACACTTTGCAACCTCACAGCCGTATTTTTAGGAGGTGGTAATAATTTGCAAGAATGGTTTGAGCTGGAAGAGAAGTAATTGATCTGAAGGGTCACAACAGATTGATGCTGACTGATTTAAACTGCAACACTGTTAGCTGAGATTAAATAACAGGGAACTTTTTAAAAAGTCAACTGAGCAAGAGAAAAGGCTTTTCTTCACACCTTCACAGGAGGTGTGAAGGATTCAAAGAGCTTGGGGCACATCAGTTTAAGTTTTGTGATCTATTCCGACATATGGTTTCTTGGGCATCAGTACAGGGGATGTTTGCAGCCCTGATGGATACTAAGGACATGTCCAGGCTTCTCTCAGTGATGCTCTAACTCTACCTATGCGGTATGGATGCAGTGTTATAACACCATGGAAAAACAGCCTGTGATATACAAGTCTTTGAGGATCTGCCTCACTGATTGGAGCCACTGGTGTTGGTGTGGTCCAGATGATTGTCAGCCATAGGAAGAGGTGAGCAAATGTCCCAGGTGCAGCCAGCCAGTGTCCATCCTGTATGGACAAGACAAGCAACAGCTTTGCTGTTACCTTCAGGAGGCTCCACCCCATCACCACCCTGTACAGATCCACATAAATACTTGTTCTGGACTGGGATTCCTAACTCTTCAGCAAAACCACTTCAGTAAATCTGATGAAAAGCTGTCCTGCATGACACTCCTCTGTTGGGTGTCCTGTTCCCTGGAGCTTTGGTAGCTCCAAACAGTGCTTGTCATAACATCTTCCATGTTTCCATTACGGCTTGAAAGATAAATGAAGGGAAAACCAGCCATGCCCAGGAAAAGGAGTTTTGAATACAAATGAAATATAAATATTAGTGTACTGTACTGTCACAAGAAACACTGCTCTGAGCCACATATATCCGTCCCCTTTCTGTATTTTAAGATGCCCCCTTAGCCCAGCTGGCAGCATTATGATTCAATAACTGCCACTCGCTGTCAGACACTTACTGTCCAAGGAAGGGTGCCGAAGAGCCCAGCAATTCCAATGAGCAAGAGAGTTTTCTTGTGTGACAGGAATTGTTTATTCAGTCCTGTTTCTAAAATGGGGAGGATGCTAAAGACAAATTTGACTTTAGCTGCTTAAAACATCCAGCTTTATTAAAAATTGTTGCCAGGGCAGAAGCAATATTTTACAGCCTGTGAAGTCATTCCTCCTGGATGATTTCAACAGTGGGAATTTTCTTCCATGTGCCTTCATGCTGTACACACTGTAGGGAGAAGGAAGTTATCAGAGATCAGGGCATATTGAAAAAGGTATAAGAAAATATGTGCACATCTCCTCTTTCTCTCCTTATAGTTCTGTGCAAATGCTGCCTCCTAGAGATTCTCAGCCTCTCCCAAGTTTCATGGCTATCTCCATTTGAGAAACTGAATGACCACTGCAGCTGCTACCTTCTCCTTCTTCATTTTCACTTCCAGTTTGTGCTCAGTGGTGGGATGAACAGGAGTGAATACCAGCATTCATCATCACAGCCATAGAAACTTTTAATGAGATACAAGGATGCCATACTTTAGACACTCCATTTATCCTCCTGCAAACAAGCCTGCCAAACCAAAGGGCCAGGTTGTTTTGAGAAGAATGAAGGGATGCAGCTTGTCATTTTCTAGCAGTGGTTGAAGTGGTATTTCTGTTTGCTTAGCTGGTCCCTCAGAAGACCATTTCCAGGCACACTGCATTCAGGGGTTTCCTGCTACATAGTGATGGGAAGAAGATAGAATAGGTGAGTCCGTCTGCTTAATTGGATCCTGCAGAAAGACAGTAGAGAAATTCACTTACATAAAACAAGAGCAAACTGCTGCTCTCAGACAATTATTAAGCATGCTTGGAGACACAGTCTAAGCTCATGCATAGCAGACAGGGTGTCCAGTTGCCACTTGGATTTCTGAGAACCCACTCTGTTGCGGCGAGCGAAGGCCATGATTAGTGCTAACCGTACCATGAAGTGGTTACAAGCAGAATTAAAACATGTCATATGCATAGCCACTACTGTGATTGCTATGGGTTTTGGGGAAGAGAGTGAAGAAAACATCAAATACAGCACAAGGGAATCCCTGAGAGACACAAAGGCTCAAGCATTTGTATCTCCCAGCTGGAAAGTTGAGTTGTTGAAAGGAGACTGTGGTTTTAAGGAAGCTCACTGGATAAATCTTTCAGGGTGATAAAAATAGTTTGTGTTTTTGTTCCATCTCCAGCAGCACCCATGTTATTCCCAGCATGGTCACAACTTAGGCCTCAGCCTCCATCTGCCTGCTTAGGGGAGATCATTTCATTGTGTCAGCTGCCTCAGAGTCATGGATGTGCATAGCACTACTAATCTGCTGCAGCAATTTTCCATAGCATCAGTCAAATTCAGCAATATTCCTTTACCTGCATCTATCTGAGTAACAGCCTCTGTCCTGCATTCCACACCAAATGCCTTTAAGGACCAATACAATACCCAATGGCGTTGCCTGGGGCTAACCTCAAAGGCAGTTGAATCAAATTGTTAGGGTAAGATTCAGCATGTCTAATTTCAGGGGTCTGCAAGGAAGCAGTTTATGACTCAGTGGGTTGCCCTGGGTCCTCTTGAAAGTCATAAAGAGATATAAACACTTTTAGGATCTGATCTGTTTCACTCATTTTAGATGTCTATGTCACAATGAGGAAACTAGCACTTGTTAAAGGGAGACTGTGCATCCAGACATCTAACTCAGAGGAAGATGTCTCCATCTGTCAGCTGCATCCTACCCATTGTGACTAAAGGGAAAGAGTGCATCATACTTGCTTACATTCAAAATTTATGCCATCCAAAGCTTTCTGCCAAAAACAGCAAATCTCTTCACATGATGAGACAGTACTCAGTATTATGTGGTTTTCAGTTACTCCTTGAAGCCTGAAGAGGTCAGAAACTGTAAGTGTAAGGAAGTCTGGAGTGCAACATTGACCTTATCACACAAGACCGTTTTTGGTACATCAAAGCCCAGCTTCCACTCACAGCTTCTGGTTGATAGTTCCAGGCCCTTAATTCACTCACTAACTTAAAAACTTCTTAAAAGTTCCATGTAATGACAAGGGATAGAATAAGGCAAAAGAAAAAGGGCAGGCTTTGCTCAGAAACATGGTTTGAATTGTTCTTACTATAGTATGGGCAAATGTTTTGCCAAAGCAAGGAAGAATAAGTCTACAGCTAGTGTTTAAAATACCCTAAGTGACTAAGCAGTACTTGACCCAGCAGGACTGCAGCTTGAGGTTACTGGCAGCTCATTGCCTAGAAACTGTTTAGGCACAAATATGAAGATAAATAGCTTATTTTCATTTCAAGGAGCAAAAGGGATTTTACGTGTATTAGTTGAATTTATCAAAATTCTTTCATTTCTTACAGTATAAAGTGATATTTGTAACAATAATACATAGTATTTGTAACACATTTCTGCTGTGAATTTTCCTAGAAGAAAAAACAAGGAAAATATATCCGTATTGAATTTGACAGGCAGGGATTTTTCCATCTTCCATAACTCCAATTGTTTCACTTGCACTTCATCAGAATGAAAAAGGCACAGAAGACTTAAAATTGACTAAAACCTCACATTTTTCAACAGTTTTGTGGAGTGTCTCTAGATGCTAATACCTCTGAGCATCACTTCAGTGTTTAACAGTTGGGGGATTTTGATGGTAACATGTAATTGTTGGTTCATTCTGGCTTGTGGCACTAGATAATTATGATCCTCTCTGCTCTAACTAATGGTGCCTTCTCTACATCCTGATTTTTTGCTGTTGTAGTTCTCATGCTACTAGTTGCTAAATATATGATATCCGCAATATTGTAAGCCCTGAAGAATCATAGAATATCTTCAGTTGGAAGGAACTCATAAGGATCATCGAGTCCAGCTCCCTTACAGACCATTAGTTTATATAATGGGCTTGATTCTCTACCATCTCTCATCTGGAGGTGCTGCAGTGCCTTTGCAATGGAAAAGACCTGTAAATGACATAGTTGCCTAGGCTGGTTCTGTAGCTATTCTCTCACATGCACACACACATGGTTCACACTATGAAAGGGAAAGATAAGCAATCCACGTATGCTGCACACCAGCCGTTGATCTGATCATGTGGGAAAGAGCACTCTATGTGCCAATAAATTAGAGCTGACTTTAAATTTTGGGTGGTGGTGATGATGTGACACTGCACTGGATGGAGCCTTGTAATCAGGAGAGCTGCACTAGGCTCCATAAGACACCCCAACCCCAGCCCTGAGAGACACCCATGCTCTGTTCCTGCTCTGCTCCGACTCCCCAGTGCAGCGCTGGTATGGCCAAGCTGACTCTGCCTGGTTTGCTGCTGGGGTGCTGAGCACACATAATTCCAGGGCCACCACACCTTCCTTCAGCCCCAGACACAGCGAATGACATGCACCACTGAGTCAGCCACTCACTCTGGCCTTTAGCTTAAGACCCACAAAATTAAAAGTCTCTCCACTGTGTTGACAGCTGGAATCGTTTTGGTTATGACTACCCTCCAGCATCACACTGCTTTTCTGACTATTCTGACTAGATGACACTAAACAAAACTCAGCTGAATGTTTCAGACTACAAACAGCTTTGTGAAACCAGAGTGTCCCTGACACACAGCCCTGGGTAACTGCCATCATTCATTCTCAAAAGCCAGCTTCAAACAGCACCATCTATGTTTGATATGCCCTTTCCAAACATCAGGATTTATTCTTGGGAGCACACAATACCCTGAGTCTGTACTAAAGAACTCATTGTTAGAGTTCACAGGACTCAATAAATAAGTCCCAATCTTCAGCTTGCCATTTTAAAGGAAATATGGTCAATTACATAGATAAAACTAGGAAAAAATTGCCTCACACTTCATCTGCCTATGATTAACAAACTATACCCTGCTCTGAGACTGGAGAAAGGGCAACATCCAACCTGGTTGTTTTGGGAGCTCCTGGAGAGCAGATGTGTCTTGAAACCTTAGCATGACACTGGGCATTGCACATCTTTGCTCGAAGTGCTCCTCTATGCAGGACAAGTGGCACAGCCACCCCTTCCCCACCAGCATGGATCCGTGTGGAGCTTCATGATGAAGCTCTTTCCCCATCTTCTTCCTCTGTGGGAAGCAAGTGTGGGAGGTCTTGGTATGCCACAGTCCAACATGCCTGCTGTCTGCAGCAAGCTGTACCCAGCATTTTTTTCCTGAACTACCTCTGGCATTATTCAGCTAGATCCCTGCATGGTGGAGATACGTGTGTGGACATGAAGGAAAGGGCTGAAAATCAATTGCAGTAAAGTTTGCTGATGAGAGGAGTGCCATCGGCAAAAAAGGGAAAACACACTAAAGACATAGGGGGCCGAGAGAACAGTGTGTTTTGCTGAAGAAAACTAAGCCTGTTTCAGGGTCTCAGTTTTAATTTTTAAAAAATTCTGTAATACCATTGGAAAAAGTATACAGTGAGAACTGCAGTCTGCTACTGCATCTCTGCAGCAGTGTCTGACTCTGAGGTCAAGTGGGCAAAAGCAGCTTACACTCTTGGCAGCAAGGTATGGATTTTGCAGAAAATGAGAATGAACCCACATGCAGTGACCTTCAGACTGAAACTATTTTCTTTAGACTGTCTTGATGGATGGATGGACAGAAGAAAGGAACAAAGGAAGGAAGGAAGGAACAAAAGAAGGAAGGAAGGAAGGAACAAAGGAAGGAAGGAAGGGGTAAAAAATGGGAGACTAATGATGCAGGAGAACTGAGTCGTAAAAGGGTGAAAGATTAATAATTTATAATTAAAATACAAGGAAAAAAGCCTGTAAGCATGATTACAGAACTATAGGAAAAGGTACTGCTTTATGCAGAGTTCTGTGTAAATGGATAAGTCTGATTAAAAGCCTAGGGAGAGAGAAAACACCCTGCAGAAGGAAAAAAAATCAGAAGGAGGTTTCTTTGCTCATTGGCAGTGTTACGCTGATTCTTCTTTCCCTCAACTATTCCAGAAACTTGCATTATGGTTATTACTCCTATTCATTTGTTCTCCTTTGCTTTGTAGACCAGGAGAATGACTTCACCATAGAGAAAAGAGGGCAACTTTGGGCCACCTGGAAATTTTGCCATCTCTAGTGAAGAAGGTTTAAATAGTGACAGAAGCTTTACAGCACAACACAAGCAGAGAAACAAGACACTCCATCTTGGGGAGATGACACTTGCCAGCTTCTAGGCTTGTTATTGATGTCCTATCAGATACAACCACACCGGATTATCCTGTCAGGAATGGTAACATGCAGCACAGAAGGTGCAAACAGTTATTTTAACTCACTGCAGGAACATGTGCACTCACACACTACACATTTTGAGGATGTTACCCTGCGGAAGGGACACCTATCAGCTAAAGATAGGCATAAAGCATTTGCAGCCTTCTCAACACATGCTTGCCCAGGTCATTTTTATATACAAACAAGCTACTTCTTGAAAGCAAGGACTGAAGCTCAGATGAGTATTTATTGAGCATACACTTAATTAAAATGCTGAGTTTACTGCTGAGGCAACAGACTCATGAAAATAGAAGGAATAAAAGTCAAGAACTTTTGAGCTGAAGTGTTTGAAAAGCAAAGATTCATGAAACCACAGTAGCTCTGAGTAAATGTCTTGTCTGAATGCTAATTCATGCCACTGAAAAAGTATATATAACACCAATTATAGCAAGAAGAAAAAACATGCGTACTTTAAACAAACTAAGCCCCTCCAAAACCACCCTGAACCATATGCAGTGCTGGAATACAATTACTTGGGGTATATATTCCCAAGGAGTAGTTTTTATCAGCCAGTAGCTGGTTTACATTTTCTCAAATAAATAAACTGTATGTGTGTGACTTTCTATTGCTTCATGAAAACAAAGTTACATAAAAGCTGGTTATTTGCAGCATAACCTTTCTGAAGAAGCCTCAGCTGATATCAGGTAATTATTTGCCACCCGAATCTAATACTTTCCACCCCGTGCCAAGTCATTTTCACGGTATCTGCAGGGTGTGATGTGGATCAGAAATACCTTCACCATCCGTCAGTGCTGAAAATCACTGGAGCTGAATCCGTCTGCCCGTGTTTACCCAGCAACCAGAGTCGCGTTGCTAATGCGAAGGTCGCCCCATGTGAACCCATCAATCAGTGAGCTGGCGTTTTCAACTCTGTACCAATATCAGAAATAAGCTCAAGGGAACAGCTTTTAACCCTTCACTGTTTTTAAATCCCATCTGTCCTTCATGGAAGTAGTTTTCAGAGTCACTTCCAAAGTGACCTTCTGTAGGCAACTTCAATACCTTACCTATGAGATACACCTCTGACCTGCCCAAGAAACTGAAACTTAGCTGCTGAATACATCTCAATATAGGTAGTGTAGCTAAATAAGCTGTAACTTCTGGATTTAAATGTCAAGAAAACTCCTAGTGTGTATGCTCTAAACTGATCACCAGCTATACTAAGATACAGTGTAAACATTTCAACTCAAAACAGAATATTACATTTAATCACACTTAGCTTTCAATTTTTTTAAGGTTGATATGGTTCCTGTGGTTTTTTTTTATTCCTAATTTGATTTTTGGGGGACATCTATGCTGAGATTACAAATGCAGTCAGCTGCTCAGTCATACTTCAGGGTAATGTTCTATGTGCCCTTCTGCTTTGTACAGATAGATGCCTTTATGCTCTTTTTGTGATTAAAGCTAGCCAAATTTATTAATTCAAAACATTCTTTCTATTTCTAAATTGTCTGCATACAGATTGGGATTTCCATTAATTTCACTCTTACCTGAAATTGTTCAATGGGTGCTTTGTCCAAGCACACCTCAGACCACAAACTTTTTGTCACTGACCTACAGTGACTGATTCAACCACCTCATGTTCCCAGTACTGAGTCTGGTAGAGCTGTGTGTCTGTGTGTGGGTTAGAACCCCAAACAGAGAAGAAAAGGTTTTGATGAAGGCATCTACAAAGATTCACAACTGCAAAACCTGAAGAAGCTTATCTTGGAGCTTGTGGAAAATAAGCAGAACTAAAAAATACGAGATCTTCATTTGCCACTGAAGTGTATTCGCCTCTTGGCAATAGTTCACAACAACATGGGCCCTGGCCTGAATTCTGACTTTATAAAATTTTAACCCTACAGAAGTGTCCTGAAGCATTCAGTTAAACAGTTGAGAGGACCTAGATTATAGCTTGAGCTAATAAAAGCTGTTCTTTTAAGAAGTTCAATCCTGTTGTGCTCCAAATCAACTTGTGGAGAGAAAGTTAACTGTGAAATAATCCATAGCCTTTCCTTATGTGTCCTAGATTATTTCAGTGCTTGTTTTTCATTTATTTGGTTGCTTTTTGTTTTTGATAAAACTGTTCTAAAATTTGTACTCTTAAATAAGATATATAATACAAAATGAAGTGATCAATTGAAAGTCAACTTATTTTGAAAAATGACGCTGTTTTATGTGATGAAGTTTTGTGAAATCTTCTGAGAAATAAGTGCTTTACAGCATGTTTTTGCAGTGTTTGCCACTCTTGCTTGAGACCATTAGCTTACACGCATTCTCGTCTGTATCGTTCCTCTAAAGTATTGCAATGGGAAATGATTTTGGCTTCTTAGCTGTTCTGCTGCTCACACAAAATCCAGTGACAAGTCATCAGAATGTCTGTGATGAGACAGTGGTCTCAGCAGCTTTGTGCAGTGGCAGAGATGACAGTACGAGGTGCTAATACAAGTCAGTGATTAATGGGATGTAAGAACATGGATAGATTAGATTGGATTAGGCATGCATACGTTTAGTTTAAATTTAAACCTTAACAAAAAAACCCAAAACAAATAAATAAAATCTTGTTGTTTTTTGCCTTGACAAAAACACCAAGCTATTCTAAATGCATCAACCTCAACAAAGCCAGGTCCATGCAAGCACCTGCTTAAGCCAGTTTAAACCACCTCTTCCTTCCTGAAACAAAATGCAGGGTATCTTCCTATAATTTTTGTGGACACTTTAATTTGAAATACTCTGACATTTTATTTTTAAAAAATCCTGGGTATTTACTTTTTTTCTGCCAAATCATGCTCTCTCTTTTCCTCTCAGTGCTCGAATACCAGGTGACTTTAAAGGAATTGCTGAGATAAGGAATATGGAAGATTAGTATGTTCCCTCGGTAGCAGCTCTTCACATGAGAGAAGTCTGCTTTGGCCTTTAGATATTTTTTCCCTTACCTACTACAAGGTCTTGGTAAGTCATGGCCAAGTCAGAGCCCTTCATCTCCAACATGATCTCATCGGACATTGTTTGATCCCAGGAAAATGCTAAGGGACCTACTCAGAGAAACCTGGCTCAGTTAGAGATAGAAGCACATCAATAAACACCTTGGCTGGGTATCTCTACCATGGCTAATACAGAGGAGTTCATGGAAGTGGACTGGGACGATCGCTGTTGGTTCAATGTGGAGATGCCATTGGCAGGGTTTTGTGTGAAGCAGAAACCAAGCAAACTCAGCAGACAGTGCCACGCGTTTGGATTGAGGCACTGATTCGCTGCCAGTGCTTTAGCAAAGATCTCCTCCAAAATTCTTTTAGCACAACTACAAAAAGAAACATAAACATTTGTGAATGCACTGCTGCTGAGACCTGTCTCACAGGTAGTGGTCGCAGGCACGTTCAGAAGACACACAGACCTGTTTGTAGTGCAGCTTGGGCTTGAGTGCATCAGAGAATAGAGAAGAAATTAATTTCACCTCTTCCTGTTCCAGCAACTGAATTTTAACCTAGAGCTCTTTGCTGCCCCTGAGAATGCTTTTCCTGAACAGCCAAGATGAATATCCTGTAAGCAGTGAGGGACACACTGGACAGGGACTGCACCAGGGTGCCTTGAGTCAGTGTGGAGGTACCTCAGCCCAGCTGTGGGAGAGCAGAGGAGCCAGCTCTTACAGCCACCCCAGTACCACGATGCCCTTTGCCACCTAGAGGGAAGAGGGCAGTAAAGGGAAGAGAGAGCAAAAGGAGCATTTAGAAGTGAATCAGTTAAAAAGTTTCTCTCCATGTGAACCTGTCAATCTTCTGTAGAGGATTATGCCCACTGGGGTGAGTAAGCCCAGACGCGCACACACACACACACAAACACACACACAGACTTTCGCATAGTATCACTAAGACCTTGTGGTTAATTATAGCTCTGAATCTGACAGAGAAAAATTAGAGGGGAGAGGGACAGCTGCGGGATCCTGGGGTGTAGGGTCTGATTTCCAATGTAATCTGCAGCCCACCAAAGATCTTCACTTTGGAAAAATAAAGTTCAGCCATTTCTAGTCCCTGCCTGCTGCTTTTCCATTGCCTCATGCGTGCCGTGAACCTCTGAGCTCCTAGCAGGGTCCCCATAGCAGCAGCCTGGCCCATGCTAAGCAAGGGTGGCTTGTGCCAATGAAAAATATACATAGGCTGGGATTGCTCAGATCTCCTTTTCTTTCTGTTCTGCTTTTTTTTTTTCTCTAGCTTGTTGCAGGGGATGAGTCTGTAAGACCAGTGCTAGTTTCTTTCTTCCTAAGTCTGCCTGCAAATCTCTCCTAAACCTGGAATTAAAATGAGGTGGCAAGTTTTACCTTTTTCCGGTGACATGTCATCTGACTCTTCTGATGTCCAGAGGCAGAGCCTTCAGAAACAATTCTGTTGATTCCACATTTTAAGGATATGGATAGTTCAAAGTCTGGGTATTGCTTCTGTCTTCCTTTGAAACATGGGAGACTTCAGGGAGTCTTGCTGCTCATCTTGAACCTGTTTACATGCAATGATCTCATATTACATTAAAAAAAAAAAAAAAAAAGACTCCATAAGGTGGTTGCAACATGAGCCGAAAGGGAGAATCCAAAGATTACATAAAACTGGGATCACTGTGTTTAAGGTTTGTACCTCTGGTCTGGGTTACAGCAGTTTGAGAATCATTTTAATGTACACAGACAAATAATAATCCCTCATACTTACTAAGTACAGTCAGGAGTTGGGACCAGGTCTCCACTACAGGTTCAACACCATTTTTGGATGCAATCATAACTTTTAATGCATCTTGGAAGGACAAAAAAACTCCAATGAACTGGAAAATGTTAGTGATGTGCCAATGCTTGAAGAGTATATGGGGCAGGGAATTATAGGCTGCTTAGCTTCACAACAATCTGAGGCAAAATCACGTACTGGCTGATTAGAAGATGGAAAATCCTACACAACTTTAATAACTTCTTTAAGTTAGGAATTTCTCATAGCAGTTCCTACTTTAGTATTACCATTGTTTACCAGTATTTTCCAAGGAAAATTAGTTTAAAACATCCATACTGGTTTAATGTCTTGCTCTACTTCCAGATGCGTATTAAAAGTGAATCATCATCAACATAAGAATAAAGTGCAAACCTCACACAAATGCAGACCCCAGACTCTGCCAGAGTGTATTAGAAGTTAAGCACAATGCAAAGTATTGATTTTCTTTTGAAATCTATTTTTGAATTGTATAACTGTGGTCAACCAAATTCTGGTTTCTCCATTCAGAGACAATATTCATTAAGAATACACTACAACTTCCTAGACTTCTTTTAGAGAACAGATACAGTCAGGGATAGGATCATAGAATCATTCGGGTTGGAAAAGACCTTTAAGATCATGGAGTCCAACCATAAACCTGGCCCTGCCAAGTCCACCGCTAAACCATGACTGTAAGAGCCATATACACACATCTTTTAAACACTTCCAGGGATGGTGACTCAGCCACTGGTAGGCCAAGCAGACAGACATCTTTAAGACACAGCTGAAGCAACTGAACACATTATCAGTTCCGTTTCCTTCAACCAAACTTTCAACAGAGATCAGCTGACATAACATTAAACAGAGTAACCTGATGCAATGCAAAACAGGCAGGTTAGTTAAAATTACCTTTACCAGTGACTTGAGCCATAACAGTCTGACTTTATCCTCACAAAAACACCCAAAGAGTTTGTTTTCAGCTCTCCGGAGTAGACAATAAACAGCAGCATGGGTACAAAGGTAGATCAGATTGCTCAAAGCCTTGTCCAGCTGTGTTTTGAAAATCTCCAAGGGTGGAGATCTTAAAAAAGCCTAAAATGACATTTTTTCCATCACAAATACCCATTCCCTTTTGGAGAGAACATTTCCCCTTTGGAGAGAACATTTCCCCTTTGCTGGGCTCCTAAGAATAAAATCCTCTGTATCCATGTACTGATTTATAGCCTCTTCTGTATTCTGCTGGCTTTGCAAAACAATCCCTTTCCTGTTAACCCATGCATGGAGGCATGTCCCAGGGCGCACAGATGCAATAACCTAACATCACCACCTACATGGGCTTTGCAGGTCCCCCTTGAAGCATACATTCACGCCAGGTCGAAAGCTTTTCTTACAGCTGATAATAGCGAAGCATGAAGCCTTGTTCCAGTTTTGACTGCATAGCTAGGTGATGGTGGGCGGTACACGTCACCTATCCATACAGCTCCAACTTTAATGCAGTCACCATGATAGCTAGCCAGTTAGGTGGTTTCACCTCTCAGGAATGCTTTTGGATTGCCAGATGGAGGCTCTAGTGAAAGGCAAAACACCATGAGCCTGAATCTCTAATAACTTATCCCTTTGTGTCTTTCGAGAGAAAAACTGCTGGAGGTGTAAAGACAGCTTAAGCAGAGCAGGGAATCTGGTGCTGTAGGGCTGCTATGAGGACCATTGAGCCTCCCACAGGGAGAAAGACTTTCCAGAAAGGCAAGTCTGTGATGTGTCCCGGAGCAAGTCAGGGCTGGGCACGTCTTCATTACTACACTGCATTGAAACATTGCTTTGGAGGCCTGAGCTAGCAGTCAATGCTGAGACTAGGTCCAGGGCGCTGACAGACTCTGTAGCCAAACTTTCTCAAGTACTTGCTGTTTTCTCCATCAGGGCAGAAATTGCTCCCTGTTTAACTGTTTACACCAAAACCTAGAAAAAATGTAGTCTGAGAAATTACTGAGTATTACAGCACTGTAGTTATCCCACAGCTCAGCTGTTCTCATTTCTGCTTGTTGTTGTTCCTTTTCCTTCCCCTCAACCCCTTCATTCCTCTGGTTCACCCACCATCCAGTCATTTTCTCTACTTGGTGGGGTTTTTTCTCCTATGCCTCCTTTTCAGTCTCTTTCTCTTCCCCTCCCCCTGCCCTACATTTTCTGGCAGAGTTTTGGACTCTGAGTTCAGTTTTATTCTTCCCTGGAGAAATGACTTAATGCCTTGGCTCTAATGAGCAGTTTGCTAACTGTGAGACCTTGCTGCTTAGTCTGTATGGAGATGTGCACACCAGTAATTGGGAACCCCATTTTTCTTCTGCTTTGCTTTTCTTCTCCCCCCCTCCCTTCTTTTCCTAGTCTCATTTAGCCATATGATGGCTGAAGAGAGCAAAGAGTCAGACAACTGGGTAAGACCTTTTGTATTAGATCACTGCTGTTCATGTGCTCAAGAGAACAAGCTCAACAGCTCAGGGAGCACGGACTGCAACATGAATGAGACTCATGAGTGTATATATAAAGTTTCCTCTTTTCCCCTGTGGGGATGTTTTCCCACTTATTTTGCAAGCAGATTAAGCTGACCATGGATTGATTGTATATGCACTGCAATGTGGACACTGCTCTGGGTTGCCATCTGTGGGGGCACATGTCAACTGAACCCTGCTTTCCCAGAGCTGCATTTGGCTGAAGACAGCCCATTCACCAACAACTTTCCAATGTTCCCAGCTCTGACCAATTCCCCTCTACCTCATAAACACGGGATTTCTCCAAGTTTTAAAGGCCCTTGGGTACCCTAACTTGATCTGTTCCATTCAACCACTTCCTGTAAACGGACATTTATGGTAATTTTAGGGGCCACCAGGGCCCATTCTCTATTCAAAGTAAACCTTTGCTCCCAAACGTCTAGACTTTGACCTCCTCTCTCCCCAGCTTTCATGGTCAAACTCCACTGTGCTTCACACTCTACTCTCTATTTGCCTCTGAAGTGCCTCGTCCAGCCCCTCTGATTCTTTCTTGTGGTCTCCGCAGCTGCTGAACACCCTCCTTGTGAGACATGGGAAGACACCAGCAGAGTGGTAGTCAGCAGGACTTCCTTAAGCAAAGTAGTCACAAGGCACCCCACCTGCAAGAGGCCAAGCTTCAGTGCACTGCAAGTCCTCATAAAACAGAGGCTGAGAATACAGAAGGAATCGTTGCTGCAGATGATAGAAGGTGACAGACTTTAAAAGTCATTTTAGTGCCTGAAAAATCTCAAGAACACAAAGTTTCCTGATGAGAGTCACTAGGTGTTTCTATTTCTAAAGCTTAACAAACCACAGAATTAGTCACACCCCAGAGGTGTCCACATTTCTCTTGGATGGCTCTTTCAAAATCACCTAGTGGCTACTATCCTGTAATGAAGAGCTTCCTCCCAATTACCTTCTTGGGATTCACCAGGGCCTAACTCTTGGTGAAGTTGCATGTGCAGTACCCGCATAGTTGGCCACTGTGGCAGTGTCAGTGTCAGCAGCTATCCACACAATCTAGATAGTCTTTGTGTGTTGCTGTGTGCCATGGTTGCATCCAAGTCCCTGATTCATTGTCTAGTCCAAGAACCACATGCAAGACCTTTATTCTGGATGTATTCCCAAGAACTGTACATGACAACAATTAGTATGTTTTTAGTGCACAGCCTGGAGTCCCTGTCTTAAAAGTACAGTTTTTCCTTGTGTCATTCAATACCACATCCTGCCTTCCAAGCCATAAGTTGATAACAAAACGTAAAGCTCACCATTAACAGAATGTATAATCAAAAACTTTATAATTGACCTGTTAGCTAAGCTGATTAACAGCGGTCAGTTAGAGCTACAAAGTCTCTTGCACTCATACTTGATTCTCCAAATTTAACCTAGAGGCCAGTGGTGTTGATCTCAGGAGGCAGTCAACCCCTTTCTCCTAGTGATTCCACATCTGAGAGCTACTGCACCTCAGACTGCAGCTGCTGCTATTGCCTGGCACTTGATATCTCTCTCTCTCTGAGAACTGGATAAGGCGACTACTGTCCTCCCACAGACGTGGCCCGTCACAGGTGATGACCTCATATCATCATGAATTAATGCAAAATTTTCAAGAAGTGGAGGGAATTTCTAACACCATGAATCCCATCTTTCTTCCCTCCCCGCTTTGATTTTTTTTCCCACTTTGGCAGGTCTTTAGTATCTCTGATATCAGCTTCTAATTGTTTGGGCCATCCTTGACATTAGTTTTCTGCTCAGCAAAACCTCAGAGGGTGACAAGCCATGCTGACACTCCACAATTTAACGGAGCTAAATACGGATCAGAGTCTGACTAAGCATTCTTCTTCAGATATTTTTACACCATTTCCCACCCATCTGTTATATTTGGAATAATAGTAATTAGCAGTTCATGTCCAAACCCCAAATTCACTTGCAAATGCTTGAACTCATGACCACAGTTGGGTATCAATTTTTCAGACCTCACTGCATCAGTAATGCCACGTAAAAGAAAATTAGATTTGACAGCTGTTTAAATTGCAATAGCATACACTAAGCATATCTTATATTGTATAGGAGTGCAGAACAAGTACATAGTGTTTTTGCAGATAGCACAAATATACATGTGCTTACTTTTCTCAGTGGAACAATTATTTTTTTACCAGGGGAAATGTTTCCCTGCTCTTTTCAACTTTTTAACAGCATGGATTTTT